ATCAGGTCAGAGTTTGAGGATATATTTGGTAACCTCAGTTCTTACTTTTAATGTACAACAAATAGCAATTTTTTTTTACAAATTTTACTATGGAAAAATTCGTTGACGTAAGTCAACTGAACAGCTAATATTATTATCGTCGTGTCGTGCTGTCAGCGGATTTGAAAACGCACCGCGAGAAGAATGGTCTCAGCAGAGCGAGGTTTTTGTGTAAATTACGCAAGCAGTCGCGAACGCATACCGCAAATGCAAACGCACACGCAAATTGCGCAACACAAGAGCGCGCACCGCACGCACGCGCACGGCACACCACGGCACGCACGCACGGCAGCGCACGCACGGCACGCAACACCTATATGCATGCAGAATGCACGTGGAACTGAAACGCGCGCAGACATATAAAACGTGTAGCATGTAGTGTTCATTGCATTAAATTGATTCAGTAATCCACTACTGTAGTGTATGTCTCTGCGAAATCGTCACTGCAAGCTTAATACTGGTAACTACGTAATGTATCTAGGGTGGTCGTTGTGCGTCGAGTATGGGGGGCGTGTGCGTGTGCGTGTGCGTGTGCGTGTGCGTGTGCGTGTGCGTGTGTCGTGTGCGCGTGTGCGTGGTGCGTGTGCGTGTGCGTGTGCGTGTGCCGGTGCGTGTGCGTGTGCATGTAATACGCAAGAAATTATATTATCCACAATCATAAAGCTTAATACTTCAATATAAGTTCTTTGAATATATATTTATATGTTTTTTGGAGTTTTTAATGTTGAATATTTTGCATGCACTTACGCACGCACACGCACACACTAATTAGGGTTCTGGCCCTTATTCGCTTTTCTGATCCAATGGGTAAGATCTCGGCTGAAGGTGGAGAAATGTGGAGGAGAAGCTGGAGCCCGAAAAATAGTGGGTTCATAAGGAAGGAAGCCAGATATCGATAAAATGGACATTGGAAGGGAAATGCAGTGCAACAGGGAGTGGCTGAAACTATGTATGTAGAAGATTGATAATTGGGAGGAAAACTAAAGAGAAAAGCAAAGGATATTGGTCGGGGGTGACGACAGGTCGATGGAGAGGGAGATAATTAGGTGGGTGATAGGGAGGTGGAGAACGAGGTAAATTGAGATTTGTTTGTGAGCGGTTGCTTGGGAGGTGAGGCGTCAGAAGAAAGCGAAGGTGAAGAATAAGTGTGAAAAGATAAATGGCGAGTCAGCTTATTAGCCAAGGTAGAGCGTATACCTTTTGTTTGACTCATCAGCTGCATGCCGTATGCACGGTAGGCCTACTATACATAATACAATGAAAGGCGATACACTGTTTTACTATGTGCACATTTTTGCAATGGTGCCCTGATGTGTGCTACTATGTTATTTGACATTTCGACCAGCATTCAGTTGTTCAATGACTGGCGAAGCGTTAATGTATTTCGATTAGATCCGACACTTCGTGGTCAGTTATCAAAGCACTCAGTGTCCGGAAAGCTGTCCATGAGGGCACCGTGAACCAGAGTCAGTGTTTCATGCGGGTAATACCAGCGCTACAATGTGACGCATATATACGGGAAAAATATCGTCAAGGCGTAGGTGGTGCATGCATGCGGGTTTAGACGTATCAAATTAAATACGGTCGTATATATACAGCTACGATACAAGCGTAAATGCTTGTATCGCGAAGCATACAGGATTCAGCTAACAGCATCTCCGACCACAGCCAAGATGAGACTAACAGGAATAATCACACTGCTTACAGCCGTGACTCTAATTCGGGCGGAATGGGTTGCCGATGTCAACGACGGTATGTCTTAATTATATAGAATGTACATGATTAGTTTTCAATACTGGCCTGTATTTTCGCTTAATAAACTAGCATCATTTTTTAGACTTTATAGACGATTAATGCAGACATTTAGCGTTTCGTTTCGAAAAGAAATAATTAGCATTCAAAGTTGAATCAAGACTAGAGACTAAAGTCAAGTATTGTTCATTAAAGATGCGGCTAATATGTATTCTTGACTCTGTAAAGGCGATACCTGCAAGGCAAATGGCAAGGAGTACAGCCTGGGTAGCTTGTTCACTCCGGAGGGAAAATGCGAGATATGTATTTGCGAACCCCCAACCGATAACATATACTGTCAATAGTAAGTCAAGTAATTGTTATGCTGTTGTTTTACTATAGTTGTGTGTAGTAGGAACTACATGCAACGCATGCAGTGCCGGGGCTGCGAACTCTCACGCATTCGGCGTGAGACTCACGCAATTGAGGCTAATCTCACGCGCTCACTCCAGGTCTGCTAAGTATGCACCAGAATGCTCAATTTCAAGCTGAAAAATGCAAAAGCTTCCTGGTGTGGTATAGGGGGTTGACCCTCTAGGTGGTTGATATTCTATACATCAAATAACTTACAATCACTAGTTGTATTGTAACTAGTACGCATCCATGAATATTTTATTTACATTTGTAAATACATGTGTGCGCGGGGGCGTGCGTGCGTGTGTGTGTGCGTGCGTGCGTGCGCGTGCGCGCGCATCTAATGCCAATTTTAGACCATAACTATGCAAACCACCTAACCAAAGTCCATATGTCTTCCTTGAAAATGCCACGGAGTTTGTATGTATTATATATACTTTTTCACACACACACACACAATGGAACAAAGAACAGTTAGCAGCGGTGTTGCTTATTCAGTGTTTAAATGTCCAGACCGCGCGGCGTGGGCTGGGGCGCCTCAGTAATCAGAGAGAGACGATGAATATATCATACAAACAGGTAGAAACATACGTACATGCTAGGACATGCGCCAGCACAGATATGTATCTATGTGCTCGTACATGTATAAATTATAGTATATTATATCCGTTCATAGTCTCAATGCGGATGAACCGATCATGATTTAAGTCATCACCACACATATCTAGTAAGATGAGTTCAACAAGGAACTATTTTGCCATCGCTAGAGGCAAGACAAAGAAATTACCACGGGTCTGATACAGCGTTCGCTAGTCCCAGTAAGAGGCAGGAGCCGCACATGTGTGAACGACAAAGGCAACCAAGTTGCGAACTCGATTGTACACGGGCATAACCATGTGATCTTTGTTTACACATATTTTTTTCACACACAGGACTCTTATTCTAAAATAACTGTATATCCCCACGACCTCCACACAATGCAACCCGACCCTTACCCGTTCTTTGCCCCTACACCATGTGTCATATGCCACATAGAGGCATTTACTTAAAATGTTTCACTGATCCGGTTCAACCATGAACTGTCGACACCTTGTTCTGTCATTTTTCGTGCATAACATCAAGAGAAACACTAAATTCCACACACAGCTACTACCTACTCCCAACGTTAGTCTTTATAAAACACAAGACTCAGTATGGTGTCTTTCAAATTTGACCTCATACCAGTACATGTAAAATATAGCGTAAAATATACAAGTTCACGAACTGGTAGCTCTAGAACTGGTGGCTTATAGCCTTTCGCTGGGCCACAGGCTGGCGGCCACCCTTGGTGGAGCGAAGGGCTATAGTTCTAGAACTAATGAACTGCTAGAACTTAGAAGGTTCGATGTTTGATTGCAAATTCTAGCAATTTTGGCTAGATATTTTTCTAAGAGGCAGTGGATCAGTGACGAACGTTTCTGACTAACACATATAAACGTAAAACGAATAGCCATTCGTTTAACACAAGTATTCTAAGAATACCATAAGATGTGCACAATTTAAACCGCATCACAACATATACTATTTTAATAATATGAGGTTATTACGTCACACTAAGTGCGTTTATTAAAATCTGACCTCCGTCTGTTGAAATCAAAGATATACAACGAGATGCTTATTCACTGCTATACTAAAGGCTAAGCTGATTCTATTTTTTCTACGATAGTCTGGCTTCAAAAGAGGGGTTATCGGCTGTAGCACTCTGTGACTCATGCCTGATTACCAACTGCGTCGTATTATAATCATAATGCATTGATAACTTACCACACGACACCAAACGCACCATATCCAATCGGTCTGTCTGGCTGGACGTCCTGAGAAGGGACAGGGGAATGATGGTACACGGGATGTGTGGCAGCGAGTATCGCATGTTGAGAGGTGCCATGGAAGGCCATAGCTTCGGCTACGGCCTGGGCCTGCCTCTGTTCAAGAATTCGACGACCGACCATTGCCATCCAATGATTCTCCCCGACTGACCGCAGGCGGGCACCAACAGCAGAAATTCACGGACAAATTTTGCAAAAAGCGCTAAAGAAGCATCACGAACCAAGCCGTCGTCGTGGTGCAGGGATCCTTAAGTTTCGAATGGTAAAGCATTAACACTGCACACAGAACCAAGACAGCAGAAATCAACGGACAAACGCCAATGCGTTTGCAGAACATCTAACCACCGACAATGAATGAGCCTCGAAGCCGCTCGCAGCGCCACTGTTCGGGGAACACGGTGGGCAACGCCTGTATGTTATATCTGCCCAATCAGAAAGGAGTTCTTTTAACCAGCTATTTTATGTTACCATCCAAATAACAAATCATATATTAGTCAGGACAGTTGTCTCATATAGTTTCATTTATAGACTTCTACGTTTCTATGTTATACAGTATAACTAATACATTTTCCCAACGTGAAAGATGTGAGTATTTTGACACAGACTAACCATAGATATCATATATATACACAACACATGTGGACTAACGAATACACAAACTGTACAACCTGGTGCTGCCCCTGGCGAATAGAGCGGTCAACTAACATTGACGTCAGTTAGGCTTAGAGGCATAGAAATATACAGAGGCACTATATTATTTCTATACTTATTATTTATTATTATTATTATTATTATTATTATTTCTATACTTATTTCTACACTATATTATTTCAATAGTTAGAATCATAGATATATACATACACATATATACGTACAAATACCTTTGTTTTTATATATCTATGGTTAGGAGTCATTCTTAATTAGTGCAGTGCAGTGACGAATTGCTAAGAATTGCACAAATGAGCAAGAATTGTTTTTTGAAAGAAAATGCCAATTTGTTAATGTTTACGTAATTTCTCACATATCATGATAGGTATCTCAGTACATAATAGCTTTAAATTATTATGTATGAGCAATGTATGTATTTAGCAAACGTAAGTAAACATTTTAAGCTAATAACATTTTAAAATGTTTACTTACGTTTGCTAAATCATAACTACGTTAGCGTGATTAGTGTAGGCCTACTAGTCTGTAGTGTACACGAAAATTCAGTGTAGCTCTTATTTAGGCTAATCATATTAGACATCATGGAGTGTTTTCGTATACATTCGTATACATAATAAAATTAATACCCATTAAACCCGACGCAATTACGGGCACCCCATTTCCGTTGACGTGAGACCCACCTGCAGACCGACGTTCGACGGTGTGGTTCTTCTTCCCTGACGACGGACGGCACTTCCGTCATAAAGTTTGTGCTTTACTGAATTTAGGGGACTTTATTGAAAACACAGGAAAATATGTGGTTGGGAAATTTGCGCTTAAAAATCATGGGTCAAAAGGTAAACTTCAGAACTGCTAAATTCTAAACGAGTAGTGCCTACTACCCTCTTCTGATGGATACTCGTAGTTTCTCGTGATGGATTCTCGTGGTATCGCCTTTTATTTTGTTTCATTGCAGTTAAAAGTCGACGAATTTCGAGGTTTTCGCCGACCGGTGGCCGAGTAGAGCGTGAACATGGTGCCAGTAATTCATTCATAAATGGTGATTGGCAAGACGGAGAACTTTGTTCACTGTTACCTTGAAACGTGTCGAGGCTTACATATATGCAAGCGAAAGATTTCTAACTGATAAGACGTATCCGCTTATAGTATTACGCGTGCAAGATTAGGCAATGCGTTTGCTATAGCTATCAGGCAGTGCCATATAGCCTACGCCGCTCGATATTTTTCCTCGCAGTGTCCTCTTAATTGGGTCGGGCGCGATTCGCTGTTTCACGTTTTCTCGCTTCTTTCTCAGTCTTTCGAGAGAACGTGTGCGAGCTAACGCGAGTTTTAGAAATGCATTTTCGCCGATTCTTGTTGAGACTTCTCACATCTAATACACATTCTTCCTTTTCAGACGTGTTGCCGACAGCTTCCTGCAGACCGATCGCCGCATTGCTGTCACCGTCTCTCGCGCCATCTGTCGGCATGACACTTACACAAAGTGGATTCGTGTCCTTTGCGAGCTCTTCCATGATTCTCCCTGCATAGCGCTTCTCATCCCCAATGGATTCGTCGCGACGCAAGTTTGCAGAACGCAGTGGCCATGCATGGTGGTTTGGACAGATCACGTTTTTATTGGAAGCGCGTATGTGTGCTGTTTTTTTTTGCAGTTTTTTTTTGAGGTGTCTCCCGCTGTTCTTTTTTTTGGTGTGTGTGTTTTTTGTGTCCGTGTGTATGTGCTGTGCGGCGGCTTTTGGTGTTGTGTTTTCTGTGCCGGGGCCCAGCGGGTTTTTTTTTCTCTTGTGTCGTCTCTTTTTGTTTTTGTCTGGGTGTGGGGGGCGAGGGGTCTCGCGTCTTTTTCTGTTTTCTATCTCTCTCACACTATAGACCCATGTCTTTCCTGTTGAATTTGGCCACTGCTGCTTCAACCTTGTTAGCAGTTTCTTGCATGCTCCTCTCGCCAGGTGGAGGTACGTTCACTGTAACGCAACGACATAAGTGTGTGGTCGACGTAAGGCGCACCTGCAGATCGACGTAAGACGGCGTTACGGTTCTTCGTCACCTGCCGGCGGACGGCACCTCTGTCATAAAGTTTGTGCTTTATCGATTTCGCACGTGAGTGCCTCGCACCAGACGGCTCCTCTGCTCCTGTGCGCCGTCGTTCCACATAATGTCTCCGCCACATGTGGAACTGTGGGCCCTCGCAATGACTGGTTCCAAAGCTGTACTATCTTCGCTCTATTGTATAGCCGGTTATCTCTCAGGTCGGCCCTGCCCTCGCTTTGCACCAGGTGGCGGCTCATGCAAGCGTCTTGCGAAGACTCCGGAGAATGTCTGAGCAACCATACGCCGGTCGACCGGTTGCCTCCGTCGTGCTGGCGCATTTGTAGTGAACAACAGCAGAGTCCGAATATGCTTTTCGGAAGTCGTTTCTAAGAGCACTCTACCGGGGCATCATCGGAGATTGCATCGACCTCGGTAGTGTTCTGCTACGCCCGGTATGATATAGGGTTTTCTTGTTATTCGAGCTAATCACTATCGATTTCCCTGCTCTATCTTTAGCAATTTCCTGCATGGCTGACATATTGCTGATGGCTAATTTTGATTAAATGCAAGCAAAGATTTTTTTGGGAAATTTAATCTTAAAAATCATTGGTGTAAAGGTCAGATCAGAACTGCTAAGTTCTAAACGAGTAGTGCCTACTAGACCATTCTGATGGATACTCATATTTCATATCGCCTTCTATTTTGTTTCATTGCAGTTCAAGGGGTTATCCCCGACCGGTGGCCGTGGGAACGTGGAAATGGTGCCACGGATTCATTCATAAATGGTGACTCGTAAGCACGAGGTTTCACTGTGACTTTTCAGCGTGTCGAGGTTTACATATATACAAGCGAAAGATATTTAACCGAAAAACCGTATCCGCTTAAAAGGTATTGCGTGTGCAAATGAGCGAGGCAATGAGTGAATGTTTGCTGTAGCCCCCACGCGATGCCACGTACCTTACAAGTTTGATCAATCGTGACTAGCTCCATCTTCGAGACAAGCCTTAGAACTTAAGCAAGATGAATCTTTATGAGGTTACAAGATTGATATTAATAGTTTTAGCCAGTCATGAAGCTTTTCATCTATGTCGCGCTGAATAAATTTTTGATACAGCCTGTTACTAGGTGGCAGCAGGTGACTTGGCAGACAGCGGCATCAAAACACCGCTAGTGAATGGACGCGAAAGACACGGAAGAGGCTACATAGGAAAAGACAATGGCATGCACTGATATCAGAATATTTTCTCGCAAGATGCCAATATGTAAGTCCCCGTTTCTATATAGGGGAAAACCTTGAACGTAACGTGTGTGGCGAATTTTTAACAACAGCATAGCAGAGCGTGAGCAACGCGTTACATGTGTGCACACATATTATATTCGCACATCGATTTATTTCCATTTTGCTATTTCTTATATACCAAAATATATTTAAAGACACTTGGTATTCTGTTGTTTGTATTTCGCCTACCTAGCATTTTTTTACTGCAGATGTGTTTATTCTCCGTGTTTATCTTGCAGTCATAATAGAGGCATCAAATCACCGACGGCAGATGGAGAAGACAGAGACTGCAGGACCAAAAATTACGTTTGATTTTTTGGCTTCTGGTTATAGTACGCGTGTACTTACTTGTACATGCCCAAAAACGTATACGTGCGTAAGCATGCACGCACACAAACAGATCGCTACACACCCGTGAATACGCGTACGTGCGTAAGCATGCACGCACACAAACAGATCGCTACACACCCGTGAATACGCGTACGTGCGTAAGCATGCACGCACACAAACAGATCGCTACACACCCGTGAATACGCGTA